AAGAGTTTTGACAGCCTCTTGAGTATTCCTTCACTCCTCTATCTTCCGTGTGAAAATGTCATGAGATGAAAGAACGCTTCTTTAAAATTGAAAGGTGCTCTTTGCGTACCTGTAACATGCTGAAGGTTAATTTATGAAGCGTCAAATGCACTCTACGGCCTCTTAATAAGCTTTTGAAAGAGCTTTTTGTGGGCAGCGAATTACAACAAGCATTTCGGCAGGCAGCAGTCAACTCGTCGCTTAGGATTTTTGACTTAAATGCTGCAAGGCTCGTGAATCATTACAAGTAGGCGATTCGGGTTTTCTCCAACCAGGTAGCTCCCACCAGTGGGACAGTGATTCAGGTGGGACAAGCTGGTGTCCCGATATGAGTAGTGTAGTAATGCATGTAAAGTGTGTGTGAGTAAGAGATGAGGATAGCAACAGAAAGGCGAAGGAAAGGTGGTCCGCGGTCCTTGGCCCGTTTGTTAGGGTACTGCTCAGGCGTTCGTCTAATGTAGGAAGGAGAAACCACGGAAAACTACCGATCAGAGAAGCAGTCCACTAGAATTCTCCTCCAGACAACGGCTGTAATCGATCTAGCTATGAAGCGAGTGGTGATAATCCAGCCACCGCCGTGACTCAAAACTTCTAGACCTTCCGGTCAGAGATATTGCAGTGATATCAAATGATGACCTGAGCCCTCTAAGCCAGTGTGTTTTCATGTGGTGGATATCTCGTAATTACAACGTATCTACTTCCAGCTCTCATCGTTTCATTTGTGGTCAGTTTCGATGACATAGGAACATGAGGTATCTTTGTTATACGTAAGCTTCCGCAGCTCGAATCAGCCACCGACGTGGCGTCTCCCGGATAGCCGAGAATTCATGAGGTATCTTTTCTCAAGTGCTCGTTGCATTCAAGCTCTGTATTTGAATCCTTCGTAAAGTATGGTCGACGTCTTACGACTTGGTGAGACTCCTTCACCTTGTGTCACTTTCTTTCCCATACTACATGTATGTACTTTCCCCCAAAGCAGTTAATATCAGCCGAGAAGTTCTGTGAAGTAATGGAAAAGAAACATACAATGGCTGGCATGGGACTACGGGTCACCTTTGTAAGCCGAAGGGGATAGGGTGTCGTCCCGGCATCGTAGAAATAAAATGTGGGAAGGATTACGCGATGGAATATCCGTGGAACTCGCGGAAACGGGAGGTTACGAAAACAGCGATTGGTTCATTAGCGAAAGAACCAGAAAGTTGTAAAACGATCTTTAAAAAAGTAAAACAAACAAACTTTCAATATTCACGTGATTCTGGCCATTGTATTATTTTCTCTATCATTCCGGTTAGAAAATATCTTGACTTAAATGGAATAAAAATACGATAATTCATTAGATATGTGATTCTATTGTTAGAGTGAATTATTAGAGTAATGTTTTATGAACTCGAACTTGCCAATTATATGATTAAAATTTGATTAATTACTCGTGAAGACAAACTTATTTTTCAATAACCTCTGCAAATATTTATTCTTCGAACGTTTTACAATGCATTCTGACATTTTCATAATGACATTCGTTACACTCTCAATCAAATAGTTGATATTTGACAATAACAACCGTACATTGACTTTAAAGAGTTAAGTCACACATTTATTTCATTTAAAAAAATACAGTTGCCTGATATTTCAATACGTAACAGAAACTGGTTCCCAAAGTTGGGACTGGTCCCTATCTTCTCATTTGTGAATTCTTGGTAGGACTTCTTTCATTAGTAGTTCCAAAGATCTTGTTATAAAATCTGGTGGTTTGCACACTAGGCCCAAGCATTTTGTTTCTGAAGCCCACTACAAGCAAGTCGCTCGAAACAGTACCAGGGACGCTGATGGGGAAAAATAAAAGCGGTAGAAGTGGGGACCAGTCATAGAGACTGGGAAAGTAACAATGGTAGATGCGAGCAAGGTAACACCGGTACACAAAGGGATCGACAGCAATGATAGACACGGAGAATGAACCAGTGATAGAGACTGGGAAGATAATAGTAGTTGGGGCGGGAAGGATTACGGTGGTGAAACATTACGAGGACGATGTCGGTAACAGTGATAGGGTGGAAGATAACAGTTGTCGAAACGAGAATGATAACAATGGTGGAGGTGAGGACGGAGACGGCAAGAGTAGTAGAGAAGGAGGAGGCAACAGATATAGAGACGGGAACAACAACAGTGGTGGTTGGCACATTGACCGCCAAATTGCTTAAAATTTGGCGCCTCGTTTTTTAATAGGGCTTTTTTGATGTTCTTTGAAGGCATTTCAGAGGAATATATATTTAAAACTTGGAGCTTCGGAGAATTTTGAGATTTTTTCTCAAAAAGCCGCGGGATTTTCTTCTCTGTTGACAAAGTACTCATGTCTTTCGTACAAGGTTCCTTCACGTAGATTGTCAGCTGCTTCCAGTTAGTTAGGAGCGTCACCGAAAGGTCGCATCAGCTCCTGGGCAGTTCTTCGTTTTGAAACATGTGGAGCATTGTCAAGGGTTTTAAGAATCCAGCGATTTCCAACGATTTTTATCTTAGACGCCACGAGCTCGCATTTTCATCAGAGGCGAGGTACAGAAAACTTAGTAAAAACGTTTCAAGGTTCCCAAAGAGCCTTCAATGTTCGATTCAAGGTGTGCCAGACACTGGATGCAGTTGTAACATGAAGACAAAATCAACGAAATTCGCAAAGAAAGGTTTAATTTTGTTTGGGCAGAGGTAACTGTGACAATATCTTCAGTACTCGCTAATTCTTTCTCCAAGTAACTATCTTTGTCAATTGTGTGTCGTCTCATTTCCAGAATACTCTTGTCTGACTAAAAACTGCTGATAGAAGAGGCGATGTTTTGTTGCAACTTCTACTAATTGCTCTCCCAACCTTTTCTGCGAGTATTTCGCCGCCTCAACGGTGGTAGAGGTGGGGTCGGTGACGGTAGCAGTGATAAGGCGTGGTCGGTGATAAGAAGTGTGGTCGGAACGCAACAAGGAAGTGGCGGCGCGCGTACATATTGATTTGAAGCGATTTCTTGCTGGAAGTCAAATGGCGTCCTTAAAAAAAATCGTGTTCACATTTTTGTTGTAAAACTCACAGATTTGGTAGTTTATTCATATCAGGTGTATTTTGGCTCTCTTCAGCTCGTGCTTTGTCATTAAAGTTTCTACTCGTAATCCATACTTACCAAGTTCTTTGCAGTTTTGCCTCCGTGTTATGACGTGTGTGAATTTTTATAAAACGTACAATCGTCTTATGCGCCATCCTACGGAAAAAAAGCAATTTACTTATAATGAACGAGAGCTGTAGAATCAACGCTTTGGAAGACAGGGCTCTTAGTTGGTAGAGAGTGAAGAACAGTAGTATTCTATTTTAGCGATTTGCGGATAATGGAAACATATAAAGCAGTTATTTTCATTGTAAAATTACCTAAAAGACATTGCAAAAAGCGATGAAATGTTGTGGAAATGAACAACATTCTCTTACATTTGAGATAAAATATAAAAAAGAAAAATATGCAATTTGGGTAAATGACACAGAACTACCAAGAAATGTATTAAAACAAAAAAAATCATGTACCCCTTTCTTTATTAGTGCATCTAGTAGTTTGATGTCGATCGAAATGCTAATTTGGCAAACACATGCAACACACATTCCACACTACTGGTGCGGCCGGCCGTGTGGAGGGGACCAGAACAGGAGTGGGCGAGGTGGCGAGGAGGGGCGGGGCGGGGGCGAGCGGATGCGCTGGCTAATTAGGCCTGGAGCGAGCGAGCAAGCGAGCGGGCGGGCTGGCGAGAGGCGAGAGCGCCCAGACGCCGCCCGCCGCTCTTCAAGCGGACGTCCCACCGCGCCACCGAGGTAGCGCCACGCGCTGGGACGCCTGCACTCGGCGCGCCAGACATCAGGCGAATGCCGGAGCGGTACACTTCTTTAATATGAGAAAAAAATAGTTCAAGAATGTAAGACGTATCAATGATGTGTGTAGAGACAAAACAAAGAGATAATTTCAACTGGAAACTTATCATTGGACATTTTATCACCGTGAAATAATTAGAGACGTTGTCATTGCCAACAATGACAACGTCTATAATTATTTCATGAAAAATGCCAACGATAACGCACCACAACACCTACATTTTTATCACCGTTGAAAATGCTGTAGAGACACGTTGACTTCTCAGGCTTCGAATTTTGGTATTGCTGGGGGTGGGCAGGGAGTTTGACCTTATCATTTGCGAGAGGTTAACCATTGCCAAATATTTCGAAAAGGGAAACAGCTTAGAACTCTCAGGGAATTAATTCACCTCTGGGGGACATGTACAAGTCGTGACGGAAGCAGGATATTCTCCACTAGCTAGACGGCTACATCCAACTCAGCCGCTGGCTGGAGGAGAATTCTCTCATCGGTAGTTATCCGTGTTTTTTTTTCTGATCAACACCAGGCGATTGCTAGAGAAATAGCCTAACACACGAGCAGAGGACTGCCCGCGATCTTGCCTTTCTCTTCCTTGTCCTAACCTCACTCTCTACTTACACACACAAAAACATGCACTACACTACCACACGTGCCGAGAAACCAGTCGGGAGCTTCGAACTGGGGTGGCGCACCTCTCGGGGAACATTTTACAGCCGCCGAGTATCTACATCGGTATCTCACCATCCAGCGCGAGATAAGTGCCATTGCCCACAATACATTCTAAAAATACACCACACTTACACTTACTCTCTTACACGCCCGACGCTCACACCAGCTGCCAAGAACCAGCGGGAACACAGTTGTCCAAGCCCGATCCTTGTCTCGGAGTTCCAAGTTTTAAAACCGGACGGTACTGAATTTTCGACCTAAGCATTCCGGTGGCGATAGAAGGAGAATTCTACCGGCCCGCTGCTCTAGTTGGTTTTCCCCTTTTTTTCCTATAAACACCGGGCGATGACTGGAGCAGTACCCTAAAAAACGGGACATGACCACGCACGATCTTTCCTTCTCCTTCCTTGTCTTATCCTCCTCCCTTACACGTAATTCCGTGCACTACACTACCACACATTCCGGGAGATCAGTCAGATCTTGCTCTGTCTGGGGCTGTGCTCCGCTCCGGAAAAAATCTATAAGCCAACGTGATACGTCGTGATCGGCGCAAGGTGTCTCGTTTCTGTAGGAGAGAAACATCGCTTCCTCTTGGGATATAACATGCATTACCCTTACGGAAATAAGAACTCTAATAGATGATGCACTCGGAATCAACAAACACCAACTCATTCTCAAAGGCTTTGAGGGCTGATGAGACGAGCGTGAATGCAGAACATTACGCACGCTGGATACCAGTCCTCTCGATGGCATACCTACGAATCATGGATTGTATGCGATCCAAACGTACAATGACTTTGGAGAAAAAGTGGAGTAGGAACAGTTCACAATGCAAACTGTAGTCTGCGAAGGTCGTTCGCCGACACGTCACATCCAGCGCCCGGTGCAGTCACACTATACGCTGCTGCAACGTACGGTATAATGGTCTCCACCTCCTGTGAGAGTATCATTACATTGTAACTGTAAACTGCATGTTGTTGAATTTTTCCCAGAATCTCTTAACAAATGTCATCCTACAGCTGTGAATACCGACAATTTTTAGTACGCAGAAATTGTGGTAATAGGTGTGAAATGTATGTACTACAGAGAATAATAATAATTTCCTTTCCGAATATGTAGTAATTTTCCCAAAATTTCTCTATTCAGGATCCTAAAAAAACTTCAAAGAATGTAATTTAAATACATATTTAATTTTATGACTTATGTGTACATAGTCATAGTTTTGATAAAAGTCATATCACGGTGCAAAATACGATTTGTATAACAAACGCAGAGAATACGATAATTGAAAATACTTTGACTTTTATAAAAGGCACAACTCGCATTCAGTATATTCTAGTAGTGCTCTTTTATCTTACATATTAATTCGTATCAACGTACAAAATTATTTCTTGTAGAAGCTCTAAAAGCTCTTTTCAAGTTATTTTCTGAGGTAGTTCCGTTTGGTACAATTAGTATCGATGAAAGTTCGTTTTGAACCAGTACTGTATCGCAAGGTTTCATTCTTTGCTTAGCAGGTACTACGACGGTTTTTGACAGTCATTTTGCTTTTTCTTTGGCTTTTAAAAAGACATCTAACAGAAGACATGGATGGTGCACCGCCATCGTTGATGCGGCTCTATCAACAAACCACTCGCTTCATGGCCAATAGGGCAGCAACGGCAGGCACCGCCAGCGCTAATGGGGATGGCCTCTCCCTGGTGATCTGGAAGAGAAAAAATCAGCATAAGTTCCTCAAAATGCGTTTAGAGATCTTTAATTCTTATCATTGATGTATATAGTAATGGTTAAAAATTAATTTAACAATATATTTGAAATACGTAGGATACCGAAGACGAATACCTAATATTAAGATATAGTATTTTTTCAAGTTTGTGGTTCCACTGTAATATGTCCAGTTAGAGGATGGGTAAAAATACGACACACACACCTTGTTTCAACTGTTCCAGCCAAAAGTGGACATATAGTAGGGTATTCTTGCACACTTGTTTGCCTCGGAGATGAGTAAAAATCGTTCAAGAGAGATTTCTTTTCGATGTTCATTTTTCCAACATCGTTGTAATTAAATCGTTTGTAGTTGTAGCAGATAAACTTTAAACAGCTCCGTTTTTGAATACGTATTTGAAACGTAATTGAATAAGTTTGCATGCAGTCGTATTTTATAGTTTTAATTAAACAGTGTCTTTCACGGAATTGGATCAAAAATGGAAGTATTTTCAGACAAAAATATTTTTATATCTAAATTAACTAGAGTTTCATTTGGTTTAAATATGTACCGGAGAAATGATTTTAAAACCATAAATCTAGACACTGATATCAGAGATGAGGTATTGAATTTTTGAAAGGTTTTAAATTTATTTCTTACCATTTTTTTCTGAACCATCTAATTGAAATTTCTAATTAGCTAAATTGTTAATAAAGAAGTAAAATTAATGTTTAATTTAAGTCATTTTCGTCAGATTCATTTCCTAACCGCGCAGTAAAATATATGTCTGCATTGTAATGTCGAGTAGTATGTCATAACCAAAAAGCAAAAATTAGCAGCTCAATATTCTGGGAATAACGTTCTTATTGCTCGAGGGATATATTTGATGGCCTCCCGGATTTCCTTCCATGCTGTGAGCGGTGGATTTTCAGCAGTCGTGCGTTTTCACAGCCTCCGACATTTCTTCGACTGCCATCGTGGGATCGACTACCCTACTTCACTTTATTACTTCCGCGCCAAATCCCGCTTTACGTCTACGTATATCTCACTCACTTGGATATTAGCTTGCTCATCGCATGATGCACAGCTAGAATACTGTTGCGAATCTTTTCGGTGTTTGGTCTTGGCTTCGCGTACGTTTACTGTTTTTTATTCCGTGTTTTTTATTGCGATCATTATTTAGAAAATTTCTGTCGTACGCATTTTTTTGTATTTTTCCCTTCGCACTCTGATAAGGTAGATATTTTTAATACATTGAAAGTGTTCGTAAATTTCTGGATGTTATGAAATTCAAAATTAAGCAAATTTTGACAAGGGAGATCGTGAATTTACTCCTAAACAAGTCAAAATTTTCTGAAATTGACATTGTTTCACGTGATATAAGTAGACATTTAAACTGCTCTGTTTATACGTGAATGGAATATTGTTTCTAATGCAATTATTGACTTCAGCTGAAAATGTAACTTCTTTGTTGCCCCTAATATTTTAAATGCAAATAATCATGAATTTTAAACGTTTTTGCAGTGGAAATGGTAGGTAGGAGAATAAACACTTAGTAAAGAGCTATACAAGCAACTTAAATATTACGTATCTTATTAGAATTTAAAAAAAAGATCTAAAATTATCATTGATTCATCTAATATACATTTCTATTGTACTTATTGAAATACTTTTGTCAGTATGTTAAATGAATTATAGTTTATGCAGATGTACGGCAATAATTTTATAATAACGAGAGAGCCCTATCCTAATTATGTAGTAATGTAAGTGACTCTCTCACGACTTCATTCCCCAGATATTACACTCGTGCGGCATGCGGGTGCCCTTTCGTGTTTCTTCACTCCGAGATTTCCTCGTGACCTCCATTCCCGGGGCTTTTCCGAGCTGCTGCGTCCCCGTTTATCTAGCTGTTGCGCGCTTCGCCCGCAGCCGGCACCAGACGCGATGGCGGGGCTACGGTCGTTGAGGGCGGGGACGGCGACGGAGGCGCTGTCACAGGGAGTAATGGAAACGATGGTGATTGTTGTGGTGAGAATGTGAGTGGATGAGTGTGATGATGGTGACTGTAATAGAGACCATAGCTTTATTACAGAGCAGGGTCAGTGTGCAATCGTGCCAGTTGGATTTTGGGTTTGTGGTTTTTAGGGCAGTGAGCGCAAGTAGTGAAAATGGTGGAGGAGAACGAACGAACGAACAAATTAGAACGGAGTCCGAACACAAACGCTTACTTCTCAATGTGTACAATTATGCTAAAACATCGACCTATACTTTACCTTTCATGAAAAAAAGAAAAAAACAGTTTGAGAAGAATACTTCAAAACTACTTCAGAGAATTTTTAAATGTAGGAAGTATAATAAAATATTCCTTGTATCTGCCTTATATTCGCCTTAAGTGACTTTGTGTGTAGTCTCAAGTGACAAAGACACTGTCAAAAAAGTTCTCTATGCCGGTATTTTATAATATAATTGTATTAACAAAATGAGAGTTGCAGTTGAATTATAATTTTTTACAGACATGAATTTCAATTTGAATAACGATTGAGTTTATATTATATGTAGGGACAAAACTGGTCTTAGAAACTGTCATAAAATATCTCAATGGTATGCCCTAAATAACTAAGAGACATATTAACGCCGACTTCGTAATATTTCCACTAGAAGTCCTTTGAAGAAAAAATAATTTAAAAATGCTTTTAATCAATTTTATATACACCCTAAAAAACGCGCTACCCATCATCTCAATTGACGATATTTGAATATTTCGGTAGTTGATTATGCTTAATATATCAAGAACAAATGGTTCTATTTCAACATTAAATGTATGGATAGTATTTATCATGTTTACACCTGTATCGATATGGCCTTACTTACTTTTTATTACTTAAGTGTAATGAGTTTTTTTATTTAAAAATGGTCTAGTCTATTTGTTAAAATGTAAAAGTTCATCAAAGAGTTGGCAACAAGGCGTGAAATTTGTAAAGCTAGAAATTGGCAATAACTTGGAATTGATCAAATAAAAAGGCAACAAAACAGAAGAAATTGAGCTTGAAAATATTCGAGATAATTAATAAGAGAGAAATGAACGGAATTAAAAACGGAACTATTGTGAAATATTAAAGAAGTTGAAGGTATCTACGAAATATGATAGAACTGGAAGAGCAAGAAGAAATAAATAGAATTGAGAGGAGTGTATAGAAAAGGCAGGCGCTGTAGGATACACTAAATAACTTGTGCATACTACAGAGCGTGCAGGGACACTAAGGAAAAGAAACGACATAACGAAATTCACAATCACGAATCGCAAAACTTGTTGAGCTTATTTTACAGATGGATGGAGTTCCACTGTGTAATAGCATCATCCTGCTTGCAAACATTGGTTGCTTTCCTTTATAAAACGGTATGCTAAAAGAACAAGCTGAAATTACGGTTGCAAAGATACGACGCGACTTAAATATGTCTTGTTACAAACGTGTTTAATAAGTGACCGCCCAAAGACCGAAAAAAATATAATTAACGTCATAATGCAAGTTAAATGAAGTAAATAAGTGTAGGATAAAAAATGAAATAAAATGTATACTTTAGGGTAGAATGCAAGACAATTCGTACAGAATATACTGACTTGATTAACTTACCTAACCTAGTACGTATTAGAGCCGAAGATCTTATGTCATTTATTACCATAACATTTATGAAACAAGTTTATATGAAGAAACAACGGACAAAAGACAAAAATACAGTAGAACTAAAAAAGCACATCATTGAAAAAGATAGGGCATTATCTATCTTCCTAATTAAATCTGCTCTCAAAACTATTAAACAAATATTTGAAGATATTAGTAATCATATATTTTATGTGGAGTATATGAGTTTTTTATTCCATTACCTTCATAACTCCTTCGGATTTTGCAAATCAAGATGAGTTTTTTCATGATTATATTGCAGATTACAAATGTGAGAAAGGTGATGCGGTTTTTTGTGCACTGCTTTAGCATTAACAAAAATGAAACGCCGGGCGACTGCCATGAAAAGTGAGCGGGCGAGGCACAGTGCGTTTGTACGCCAGGTGGAGCCAGAGAGGGTGGGAGAGCTATCGCCCAGGGCGTCGGGAGCGGGCGGGCGACTGTCGCACACAGAGGCTGGCTAATCGCGGGTAATCGCCCCATTAAGGATGCCGCTTCTCGCAGAACGACGCGTCTCCCGCAGAGCCCCGACCCACCCTACCTTATCCCCACCCGCACCACCCATCTTGCCACGCTCCCTCGCCTGCCCACCCGTCCCACCACCCACCCGCTTAACCCCGACCACCCCTGCCCATCCCCACCATCCCCATCCCCTTCTCCGCCACCTGCCCACCAGTCCGAGCATCTACTACCCCGCCGAATTCACCCAGCCCCACCCACCACCCACCCATTCTCCCCCCTCCGCTCGCCTTCCCGCCCGTTCCACTACCCACCCGCTTAACCCCGCCACCCCTGCCCTCCTCCACCCATTCCCCATCTCCCCTTCTACTTCTGCCACCTACGCTCATCTGCCCACCAGTCCGTACCACCTCTGCCAACTTCCAACCAGCCCCATCCGCCCACCCATTCTCACCACCTCCGCTCGCCACACCCACCCACCCACCCATACCACCACATCACCATCCATCCACCACCGTCCCACCCACCACCCACCCACCCATCCACCCACCCACCAACCACTCCACTCCGCCATCTCCCTCCCATGTCCACACATCCCCCTCCTGTCTCCCACACTTCCACCACTCCGCTCGCATTGCCGCCCGCCGATAACCTACCTGTACCAATCCAACCCCCGTTCCCCTGCGCACCCTCCTGCTCACCTACCTACCCGTTGACCCACCCACCAATCCAACACTGGACAAACCATCTATCCCACACTGGCCGCCTACCCGCCAGCCTGATTCGTCCAACCCAGCCCAATCCCCCCGGCCCAACTCTATCTAGCCATACCCTACTAAACTTCCCCCGCTAACTTATCCC